GTCCGGGAGAGCCCATTGCTTGAAACCACTAAGATACTGCGCAGAACCTTCAATCTCCCAGGCCTCTGGTAGAGGACCCAAGATTGAGGAAGACACATACCACTCATAGGGGTGAGGGGGAAATTTTTTAAAAATAATTTCCAAGTACAGTATATAGTTTGGTATTCCCCTATGTACCAACAAGTCCACTGCGCAGAACCTTCAATCTCCCAGGCCTCTGGTAGAGGACCCAAGATTGAGGAAGACACATACCACTCATAGGGGTGAGGGGGAAATTTTTTAAAAATAATTTCCAAGTACAGTATATAGTTTGGTATTCCCCTATGTACCAACAAGTCCCAACTCTGCTTAGCTTGCTGTGATCTTTTTGTTTTTAAATAAACAGAATTGGTATATTATAGGCTTTAAAATTCCTATTTTACTAAACTTCGCAAATCTGTACAACACATCAAAATGGAAATTCCATGTAACCACATATCTACATCCCAAAACATTAAAAAATATAATCCTTTGTTGAAAAAAGTTATCTGTCCTGTTTTTGTTCTGCGGGTAGGGCAGGTAACTTTTTTCAGCAAAGAATTATATTTGCATTTCTCTACCATATCTGTAAGTTTAAATATAACATTAGAAGACTCCATGTTAGAATAGCTATAGTCTATTTCCATATAGAACTACTTCTTCCATAACATTTAATAAGTTATTTTATACTATTGCAGAAATAGTAATTTTCAATGTAATTTATACAGCTTTTCAGTGCTTTTATGCCAAAGCCTTCTGTCTAGATCATACCACTCTTACCTTTATTTATGATAAATTAAAATAATAGTTTCTATATCAGGAAAGGAAAAAATGTTTGATTTATCAAACTTTAAGAAAATCTGTAACAAGAAGTTCCAACATCATGACAGGAGAAATCAGAGGCCATAGATGTGCAGTGTTTAAAAATCTTATGGACTCACAGGATGACAAATAGAAAAGAACTGACACATTCTGTTACTACACATTGCTGTTGCTTCCTTTCTCTTTTAATATGGCAGTGAGCAGCATATGGAGCTACTAGCATGCAATGCCAGTCTAACCATACAGGCAACATACTTACATGTTTGACATAATTGCTAGGACAGACCAAGCTCAGCCATGCCCCTCCCCCCATCACTTGCTAGAATGTTAGCCAAGCAAGACTGGTCAGTCAAGGGACAAAGAAAAGGGGGGAGGGAGTAACTGTGGATAGAAATAAAAAAGTGGAAGAAAAAGCCAATGATATGTTTCAAATGCCCCTAAGTTCAAGCTGCAATCCTCTACCAATTCCCTTTTAGGTTTTTCAGGTTCTATCACCCACTTCCTAGGTAAGATCTCTGATAACCAATGTCCTTCCTTATTCCTGGTAACTGCCAGGAATAGACCTGGCAATAACCCCAGTAAAGAAAAAAAAAGTTGAAGACTGCAATAGCTCCCCTATTATGAATTTGAAACAATGATAATTAATCCCCCTGCAACCCCACCCCAATACTGTACTCCACAGATGTCAGCCCTACTCTGCTTTGTTCAAAACAGGCAATGTACAATCTCATTCTACATTGCACAGGAGAAGATATTCAAGGCAGAAGCTCAAAAATCTTCTCTAAACAGGTTAAGATTTGTTTGCATATTAAACAGGTGAACTCAGAAGCTATTAATGAATCTTCTAATTTCTAAAGTGTAATCCTAGTAAAGCCCTTATACACAACAGCCAAGCATCTTCCATAGGATCACAGCACCCATCTTGTCTCCTGTTTGCCCTACGCAGCCAATGTACCCAGCTCACTAGGTTTTCTCTTTCTGAAACAAGCTTATTTTCCTATCCTTGCTTGAGCCTAATAGTTACTGCCTAATAACTTCTACAAATATTCTTAGGTGTCAAGTTTATCATATCCTCATCTTCCACCTGCTCTTTACACACCAAACATTTGTGCCACCCTAACTGCACAAGACATTTTTTGCTTCTAGTCCCAGCTATTCAACAATCTACATCACTCACTTATGCAACCCAGGATATCCTAATGAGGACCAGGAATTAGGAATTCCAGAGGTTTTGGTTCTTCTGTGAAGTTAAAACATATCCCAGAAGACAACACTAGTAAATCCCTTCTATAACACTACTGGAGAAAATGCATGCATTCAGTTATGAGAAATCAGACATTCTGACTAGAGGGTATCTTTTCATTTTGTTTAGAGTATCCTAAACTTCAACTTGTCTTTCCTTTCCAGCTTTCCCGCATTCTGGCACTCCAAGTTAACCTTTAGTTGCTTAAAACTGTTTGCTTTTCCTCACATTCTCAAATACCTCACAAAATATCTATTTCCTTTTGGGTTCTTATTTTCCAGCTCCCCCCATGACCTTCCATAGGGGTAGCAAACTGACTGGCATAACACAAAAAACATCTACCACTTTTCATTTCCCTTCTCCGACTCAGGCCTCTGCACCTCCAGCTTTCCTCTGCATACTCCAAGCCACTCCCCCTTTCTAACAGCTCCAGATTCAACCCCCTCTGCCAGTCTCTGCACTACAGTAAAGGCTGAGAAAGATTAGACACACTGTTGAAAAGCCAGCAAGGCACTTCTTTGAATCTTCAACTTCCACAAAGAAGCTATTACTTACTTCAAACTCACCCCTGACACCTCACTTACCTTCACACCTCCCCCAAACCGATTTACAGATGCCTTGCTCTCTCCAATTATACACCACACCAATGCCAGCGGCTCCTATGACTCCAATGACCTCTCCTTCCTCTCTCAATCCCTCATTCCTTCCAGATCAGTCACCCTTTCCACTCTTTGGCTAGCACACCTCTCATCCAACTTAGAGCAACTCTGCTTCCTCCCTCATTAAACACGTTGGCCCCACCATCTACTAGCCACACCACGCCTCCCAACTCTTCGCCACCATACTGCCTAGTTGCCCATCGCTGCCCCTGGGGCCCTCCTACCCCCGCAGTATTCAGACTACCCTCCATTTCCATGCCTCCTATCCTCCCCCTCTCTATAAAAAACATCAATCCCCCCCGAGAGTCCCAATACCCCATATTCT